TGAACTCTGTCTCTCTCTCTTTTCTTCCTCCCTACCACTCTCTTTCTCCCCCCCTCCCTCTTCCTTCCCCCTTCTCTCTCTCTTCCTCTCCCCCTCTCTCTCTTCCATCCCCCCTCTCTATCATCCTCCCCCCATTTTCTCTCTTCCTCCCCTCTCTCTCCCTCTTCTACCCCCCCTCTTTCTCTCCTCCTCTTCCTTGTCCCCCTCTTTCTCTCCTCCTCTTCCACCTTTTCGCCCCCCCCCTCTGTTCCTCTTCCTCCCCCCTTCTCTCTCTCTTCCTCCCCCTTCTCTCTCTCTCCTCCCCCTTTCTTTCTCTTTCTCTCTCTCTCTCTCTCCCCCTCCCCCTCTCTGCTGTGTGGTGAAGCAGTGGTAGCGTTTTCGTCTACCCGCGATCAAATCCCACACCTGGAGTCGATGGTAATCCTGGCAATTCCTTGCACACAGGTTGTAATTTAGAAGCAAAATAAACATACAGCAAGTCCCAGCAAATAATAACCATTGTAACAAATGGGATTAAACTGAACTGATTAATTCTCTTTCCCTCTTTCTTTTTCTTTCCCCCCCTTTCTCTTTCTCTCTTCCCTCCTCTCTCACTATTCCCTTTCCAGTCCCTCTCCCCTTTCTCTTCCTTCCTTTCTCTCTGTTTGTCTGTCTATCAGTCTCTGTCTTTCTCTCCCTCTCCCTCCCCGTCCCTCTTTCTCTATCTCTCTCTTCCTCCTGTCCTCCCTCCCTCCTTCCCTTCCTCTCCCTCTCAAAACTACATACAAAGAGATCAAAATGAATTAACAAAGATCTTCAAGGAATATAACAAGCAGACAAAAATGAATATGAAAGACAACACAACTTCCAAATTCACAATCAACGTCAATCAATCTACAAAATTCCAGGCGCATACAAACCCTTTAGTTTCAGATCCTTTATAGCTTGAATGACCCTGCAAGGCCATGGCGAAGCGTTGAGTTCAGAGTGGTAGAATTTCCGCTCTCAGCTGAGATGATTTCTGTCTTCGAGCGACCGGTACACGGCACTAGAAGAAAGGTTCTCGGGAAGTAGAAGGCACATTTTGGAGAAAAAAAGTTTGGCAGAAATCTTACAATGTGGAGACCTACATATTTCATATTTCATGCACTACAATTAATTTATACAGAACAAGGTAAAGTTAATCTTATAATGATAGTTTGGAAGAAAAAAACAGGTCATTGATAAAAACGTCAACAGATTCGTACTTTGAGATTACAAACAAAAAAGAAGAAAAGGTTTACCCCTATTTTTGCATGTGCCCATAAATTGTCGATGGGTTTTCAGTATCAATAGCAACAATAATCATGAGTTGCTTTCTCGGTAGTTACATGCACTGATACACTCTCTCTCTCTCTCTCTCTTTCTCTCTCTCTCTCTCTCTCTCTCTCTCTCTCTCTCTCTCTCTCTCTCTCTCTCTCTCTCTCTCTCTCTCTCTCTCTCTCTCTCTCTCTCACACACACACACACACACACACACACACAGTATAATATATATATATATATATAATATATTATATATATATATATATATATATATATATACACTCAAATACATAATACAATAACTGTACGTTCCCTTAAAACAGTAAGGAGACCCCATAAAACCTATTTAATTCGGGCTTTGACAAGAATCTTTAAACTGACTTCCTAGTCACCTCCTCACACGAAGGGCAAACGCTTCATGTACACCGCAGTGGCACATGATGTACTTTTATATACATGTGCATACATTCAAAATTTAGTGATTCATCTTTTTTTCTAACACTCCGGCCGAATCGATCTCCGACTCTGTATACCAACCAATAACTAGTAAGTTAACCTGAATGTTAGTCTGGTGATTGGAGTCAGTCAACGACCAAGCAATTGAATAATCAGAGTTTAAAGTAGTCAAACTAGTGTGCTAGCATTCGGGGAATGAGAAAAGTTTGTTAATTAATTAAGCGCTGAAACAAACAGGTGTTCAGACACGCGCGCTGCCGCTGTCTTTGTCTCTCTCTCTCTCTCTCCCTCCCCTCCTTTCCCCCTCTCTCTATCTCTCCCTCCCCTCCTTTCCCCCTCTCTCTTTCTCTCTGTTAATTGGTCAGAGTCCTAGCCCTCAACAATCAATCAATCAATGCTAGTTAACAGAGCAATAAATATACACGTGGTTTAGTTATTAGTCACTCTAGCTCACGATTCTCCTTTACAGCTACCTAGTAATAACTCATTCAATTTTGGATAATGATCACCTTACTGATTTTAGCTCGTTGCATTTGTATACACAGAGAACTATGTAATATAGCTGTCTATACATTATGGTTGTAGGCCTTGAAATAAAGGAGCAAATAAAAGAGCTAGTTGAAGAAATAAAGAATGAGATGAGACGTTAAAATGCGTATCAAGGAAAAGTAAAGGTTGTCAAAATTCGACCAATGAAAAATAACAAAAAATCTGCTCTCAAGCCGTTTAGTTGCTCTAACCTGTATATTACGTATGGCTATGTAAGTAAATAATTCAGAATCTAACTTACCAGTGTCTGAAGCATATCAATGCTATTGCACAACACGGCCATAAAAATGAAATGAAAGGGAAATTACTGCGGTCAACCTCGATCTCCCTTTCGTTTTTCACGTTGCTTGGAATTGGATAATCAGAATATTTCATGTGTCCAGCTCTTCTACTTGTGCTTACCTCTTAGATAGACTTGCCAAGCGTGCAGCGGAAAAGTTTAAACGCTTCTACCTGTCGTTAGGAAATCACAACCAGCAAAGGACAGATTCCAAAATCCTCTCTTCCAACACGAATTGAAACCGTCGTAAGGGAACAGAAAGTTATCGTTTGACGCGGGTCCACGGAATTACTAATTTTTCGCTGATTTTTATTTTTTTGTATTTATAGATAAATAGATAATTAAATAAGTGAATAAAAAATATATATACACATATACTTAAATAAGCACACACACACACACTTGCGAGATACATATACCACCTTATTCTCAACTTGCATGACGAAACTTTTCTTAAAATGAAAAATCAGATGAAAGCTTAGCCGAAATAAATCTCGAACATGGGTAAAAACTAACCTTTGGTCCGCTAGCAGTTTGCGTTGCAGGGCTGACAAATGCAGGCTTGTCTGGTTGCTTTTGTGTGCTTGTTTGTGTTATTGGTTTTAAGTGTCATGTGTAGAGGTATCATAAAATGTGTCCCAAATCAAACACTGTTTTCATTATTCGATTGGGTATCACTGCGGACACGAAGTATTTATACTGCTTCTGCGCATGTGTGTGTGTATGAGTGTGTATATGTGTTTGTTGTTTTGTTTGTGGTGTGTGTGTGTGTGTGTGTGTGTGTTGTGTGTTGTGTGTGTGTGTGTGTGTGTGTGTGTGTGGTGTGTGTGTGGGTGTGTGTGTGGTGTGTGTGTGTGTGTGTGTGTGTGTGTGTGCGCGCGTGTGTCGTGTGCGTGTGCGCGTGCGCGTGTGCGTGTGTGCGTGCTTGCATGTTTTAGATTTCCAATGTAAGGATACACAATATTTGCAATACATTCTTCTATTCTTTTCTTTCCCTTTACGAACTGTATATCCTTTGGCTATGTAGGCATGCATTGGAGATATTTTTTTCTTTCTTTTTCATGACTTTGACAGTATGTAATTCCTATAATATCAGACCACATAAATCATTTTGTTCATACTGAAATATGGGCATCTCATTTTAGTGACGGTCAGTGAAATGAATGAATGCGTAATACCCAGCGAGTATAAGTAGTATGCTATATAAACGAAACGGACTAATCGATGAAATTTATTCGAATGCTTAACCAATCCCAAGAATCCACGTGAAAATATAATAGTAATATCCACACTGCTAATGTTAGTTTTAATATAAAAGTCGAAATCTCTTATTTTGTTAATACTTTCATTTTTAATGTGTTTACTCCAGTTTTAAATGGACGGCAGTGAAAAGACGATGGTGGTGATACGACAAACTATAAAAAGGCATAAAACAATAATAATAAAATTCATAATGTCAGTGGTGATTTAACGATAAATTATTAAGTGATCCAATTTTTAAACAGCAAACAACTGTTCAAAAATAAAATGCGTAATTAGGCCTATCACACCATTGCGTTTTGACAAATTCTTTATCACTATTACCTAAAATGAAGACACGAATGGACTATTTCGCATATACATATTTTTAGTGCCATCTATTTCTTTGCTACCTACGTGGGTAACTATAGTAAATGTTGAGAGTATCAGTATTGCTTTCCAATATAATTCCTCCTGTAGGTAGTGGCAAACCCTTAGGATTTTGCTTTTTATTATTCCCTTTCAGGTCCTGGGTAAACTGAGAATATATTAAATATGGTCACTATCAACATCTTTGGATAATAATCATTACTTTTGTATTTAATTGTATTTTATTTTTTCATCTTCTTGGGAACAGTCTGAAAGAGTCTATGCAATGATTCATTATATAACACAGTACAAATAATTTGTGTTCTGATGGAAACGATGCTATACTTAGGCCACGTGCTAAGGAGTCACCATCGGTGTTGTCGCCTGGAAGCCTTAGCCAAGGTCTGCATCATAACCAAGGACTTGAGTTTTGTTCACAGTACAAACTTGTTAACCCCTTCAATCAGTGGCACATTATCATTATTATTATTATTATTACCATTATTATTATTATTTTAATTCTGGCATTCATTTGTTAAGGCATTGTAAGAATTTAATGTTATAATATTGAATGGAACAAGAAAGAGCCATTACATATATACTTTGTGTTGGGACTAACGTAGTTTGGCTGTATCTCCATGTGCAACATGCCTCAGCCTCCTCACACTTTCCAGGACTGAGCAGTTACTGGGACGACCATCGTTAGGAACAAATAAAGTATCACCGGAATGGAGTTTCACTGGTTTGGGAGTATATATATATATAAATAAATAAATATATATGTATATATATATACCTGTTTGCTTGCAGGTACTGCTTTGCTGCGCCTCACTACATGTTCAGAAGAGGGGCAGGAACTATTGAAAGTGTTATACTGGAAATTTTCAAACACAATAACATAAAAGGGAAATAAACTCAAATCAAAATAGAATGAGTGAGGAGGCCATAGTTTTCTGGTACAAAATAACCTGATATATGTTACTCTATAATCAAGTTAGACTTTGAGGTGGTGTTGGCTGGTTTTGTTACTGCTCCGACACCATCTCACATCTAGCATACTCCAATTTTACTAAAAGACTAATTTATTTGACTTGTATAGCTATGAAAAAAATATCAAATACAGTGATGTCCTTACCAGCAAAGTCAGTAATAATCAAACTGATTGTGATCAGCTTATGATCTTTAATCATGCTTGCAGCACATGGGATACAATAACAGATTATCCACGGCTACACATACTGCTTCATACATCATTCACCTTTCATTATTGCCATCACTAAAAGATTCCATTTCGTGCCCACACTCACACAAATGACAGAAATAAAATAAATAAATTACAAAAAATGTGTTTACTGAGGTCGCAAGTCAAGACATCACCTACGAGGTAGGGTAAGGTTTACAATTAAATTATCTGCTGCAATTTGTCCCCTGCACTCTTTATGGAAAACTGATCTGTTAAATCTAGGGTTATTCAACAGTTTTGTGGAAGTCAAATTAGGCTCATCATGTAGGTCAGCAACTGAGATATAAGCCTGATGCTAAATCCCCAAAACTGGTGAACTCAACAATATGTAGGGACAGGAAGTGCCAATGGACAAACTTACAAAGGTGTCATTAGACTTGCCTTGACATTCAGAGACTATCATCTTCCACTGGTGACTAGCACATTCTCCTGCCCCACCCGTCTTTCATTACCCTAGTCACTACTGACAAGTTTGTCTAGGTGAGCAATTAAAATTCTAGTCAGTTGTTGTTCCTGATGAACCCTCTCATAATCCTCTTTCTAAGTAGTGACTGATGGTACCATTCAGCAAAACATGTTGATGAAAACCACAACACTGACAACCTGAGCTATGCGGTTAAATATTATACAGAAGTTTCAGACAGACACCTGTTTATCACAAGATCACAGATTTTGTTCAATTTTTTTTTTACAGAATGCCAATTAAAATTACATTACATATCTTACAAAAGAATGAGAAAAAAAGCTTCAGATTACATTCTTTTATAACCGTTAACCTTGTAACAAACACACAGTGCCGTACACATAACATCAGATCTCTTAAAATATTTACCTTTGTGTGTTTGAATCTTTAGCTTCAGGAGTGGGCCTGATAAACAAAGTTCCGTGAAAATCACAAATTTCAGGAATAATCAGAAGGCAAAGATCTCCATGTTTCTATATAAGCGACTTCTCAAAATTCCTGAAATACATGATGTTCAGCTAATATTCAGTATCAACTGTGGTCGAGAAGGCCAGCAGTGGGTTTAAAGCTCACATGACACTACATGTTGAAGAGCTTGCATATAAGGTCCACAGATTCTCACACCACAGGACAGATTACATTGATAAGCTACTATACACACAAAAGTTACAATAGCTTATTCCCAGTGTGCTCATTTCAAAAGTTGAAGGACAGATTGGCCAAGTTGCATTGGGTTCAACAAGCATTCACTGATATTTTTCTTTTTTTTTGTCAGCCTTCTTATAACAGATGAAGGAAAAAATAAAATAAATTGACACAGTGGCTTTACTTGATTCACAAAAAGGTTTTGGTCACTATTGAATCATAGTATGCAAAATTTCTGTTTATTGCCATAGCAATGAAACTTAGGCAGGACCATTAGAGAAGCTAAATAGTGTATCCTGATGAATAAGATGTCATTATATGACTCGATGGCAACTATATTGCATCGTGTAAGTGGCTAGGCAATGAAAAACGGTGGCAGACCGAAGAACAAATGGTGAACCCTGTGACCAAGTGGAAATCCATAAAACAAAGTGAAATAATTTGACCCCAGAAAGAGTCAAATCACAATCCAGTCAATGGAAACTGAATGCACATGATCATCCGGAAAAAATAAGTATAATAGTTGATGGAAAAATGTGTTGAATCATGTGATCACAATTAATAAGATTTGGGACCAGTTTAGAAAATGAAGGATCAGACAAACAACTTTGCTTATCACATGCCCCAACACTGAATTTAGAATGAGGTGTGGACTATGAAAAAATAAACCAAAAATGTAAATCAAATAAATAAATGGAGAACCAATAACCAATGGAGGTGGACCAGGTGGAGGACAGACTAGGCTACCTGAAATAGGCCTACCTACTGAGCACTTGACTGTAGCACCTCCGAATAGATTTGTACATTGTGATAAACAAATAGATGTTGGCAGGAAGTATCTCATGTGTGAGATACCCCAGGCAGAGGAGTATTGTTCCAGGTTTTCCTTCGTCTTTATTTTTTCATATATTCCTTTTTTTTCAATACCGGTTCTGGTGTTTAGTGCCGGGTTTGCTGGTTCCATCTTGAGATGATTTGCAGACTGGGCTGCTTATTCATCCCCCTGACGTTTGCGACTTGCTCAACCAATTTTCCATGTTTTAGTGGGTTCTCATGGCTCATTTCCACTCAATTACAAATGTGAAAACTAACCACACTGAGATGTTACCTAGAGTTGTATAAATGGCTGACCATGGCGCACATGTCAGGGAATTTTCCCTTATTAAGATGGTGATGAAAAGTGTCACCTTTTTGTGCTCTAGCCACACTGTAATCAACCAGTAGTATGCAAATAACAGGCTTAACTTTAGCTCACTTCTACCTAAGCCAATAACTT